GAGCTAACCCCTTTTGAAGAATCTGATCCACCACTCTTCTTAAGCACCATGTCCAACCACTTACAAGAGTCCGTTCTTCCAAAAAAATAAGTCTTTTACTGCTCTTTATTAGTTACCACATTACGATTCCACTAAGAATTCTTGCACGTATGCTCGCGCCCTGCTCTTTTTTTTAATTGTGTTTCAATGACTTTAATACCAAGAGCTTATCATTTTACTTAAGAGCAATCATGAATACTAATACGTTACATCACTTCTTCAAGTGTTTATCCCGGATCATTAGTCTGATTCCATTTTTTTTGTGAACCAATCAAGAATAAAATAATTAAGAAAATAAGAACGCAAGATTGATAGAAATTCTACTTATGTTCACAAGAGTGATTTTTCATTATTTATCTGATTACAACATATTTATAGGCATTAGTTAATAACCTTAATTATGATCTAATTAGAAAACCTAATCCTATTAAATATGATACATTAATTACTGATAAACTTCATAGATTACCCACTTTTGATAAAATTCTTTTGAGTTTAAAAATTCCCAAATGTATTCTTACACCGAAAGTTAATCCCTACAACTTTTATGAATCGACTAATGATATACTTAGATTTCAAACATGTCCATGTTGATAGAAAATGTTAATTTAAGGTTTTGCATCAATTACGAAACAACAATGCTATGCATACTAAAAGTGTGCACTAAATCATTTGTAGTCACTGAATCAATGAGTCTCATTACTGATCTAACGTAATGGCGGCAGATAATTTGGTGCACATAGTTTTATCCATCCCCTGGCTTAGTGTTGGTCCGAAATGAAGCATGGTCTAGAATTGCCAATAAAATGGAACATAATGCGATGTATTTATATAAAATAAGAATATTATTGAGATTTAAAAAATTAATCTAATGTTGTGTTAAGTGATGAAATCATAATGAAAAAATTCAAAAGTTATAGAATCATTGGACCATGTTACTGTTATATTATTAAATAAAGAAATATTAATTTTTTAAAAATCCCAATAATATTATTCATTTATATATTAATAGGTTTTGACGATTCAGCAACAATGATTGGACTCGTATGGGCTGATTGACTTCTTATTCAGGCCCAATTCCAATCAATTCCAGTTATGATTGCACTTTGTTTGCATGGTTCGGTCTATTACCAACCACTCTAAATCGACCATCTCATTTTATTCATGGATAAATAATGGGTTTGCATATCCCCATAGAGCTAGCTCTGAAAAATAGTGTAAGCTGTGGACATATTAAGATCTATGAGAGAATAATGAGTCTCTTATAGGCCACTTGAAGTCACTTGGGCTAAAACCATGGTGGTGAGTTGTTTATTTATTTTATTTTATTATAAGGTGTCTAAGCTTATGTCGACTATTCTTTCAAGTTCAACAATTGGTCATCGTAACTTGAACTAGATTAGAGCATGTCCCTAAAGTGACAATGGTGACTAACTTTTAAGAAATGTGAAAAAGGATTGAATCTAAAATCTCTGAATTAACAAAAGTCAAGCTAAACCACTCACTCACTTCTAACAATTATGGTGGTGAGGTATTGAATTAAAACATTCGCAAACAATTGTTGCTTTCTGCTAAAGTTGGGAAGGAAAAAAAAAATAATATAAAACCACATGGAGCCCTTTTCCAATGAACAAACTTTATTTGGGACTGTCCAATTAAACTAGCAATGGTCGTACAATGAACCCTTATTTCTAAAAATTGTAATAGCAAGACTTTCTTTGTCATCAAAAAAGAAAAGAAAGAGTAATGATAGGCTAACCAAAAAATTGGACAAAAAAATAGAGACTAAATAATATGATATTACAATTAAAAAATATGAAATTCCAAATGTGTAAAAGTGGGATTTGCCAACAAAAACACCAGGTCATTTAATCTCTATTTTTGTCAACATTGCCTCCTGTTTTTATTTGAAACCAAAGAATATGAGCTTTTGACCCATCCCATGAGATTTTTTTAAAAAAAGTTTCAACTAAGAATTGGTTTGAAAATAATTTTCAAACCCACGTCTTTTTTAAAAACGTCAAATGAACTGACGTTTCTAAGTTAAAGACGTCAGTCCATTTGACGTATTTAACCCAATATTATAGCCCATTCCTAAAGCTTAAAAACGTCAAATGGATTGACTTTTTTAGTGCAACCGAAACCCATCTTTCCCTCCCTGTTGTTTCCCTCTTCTTTCATTCTCTCCATCACTTCCATCTTCCCCCAGTAGCCACCACCTGTAACCTCCTTCAGGTGCGCCTCTAGCGACCATCCACACCGAAAGACCACCACCACCAAGCGACCACCACCTGCTGCACCAGCGACTTTATGATATTCCAACTATTGGCCTTGAGTGTCTGCAAATGGTAGAACTTTGAACAACTCATGTAGAGGCTGCTACCACTATGGTCGTTCTTTTCATAATACATCATGTTGATAAACTCACAACTAGGTACATTGAGAATTTGTTAGATTGACTCAATTTCATCAAACGAGTTATAGAATCACTACTGATATATTGGTCTAGGCAGACTTCCCATCAGCAGCTGCAGCAGTGACAACGTCTTTGAGCCAACGTGACAAATTAAACAAGAATGGCGTGTAAACAAAATAACAGGTAATTGTCCAAGTGACAAATCCCTGCATGCAACAAAAAACACTCATATTTCTCTGAAAAGACCAACAAATAGCTTCAAGATAGAGGTTTTTGGTGCTGTTTTTGTAAGTCACCTGGCCAAAGATCTCAATGTTAGCTTGGGGATAGTACCATAGATGGAAAAACCTGAATATAAAAATAAGAAAGATCAACTGAAAACCCAATTTGAAAACAATTTAGGCTAAACATTTCACAAAATATATACTCAACAATAATCAACGCACTAATAATCAACTCAAAAAAAATCAATTCAATATTTCAATATTTGAAATCTATTCAATAATTCAACTCAACTCAATAACTTAGTGTGCGTGCTAGATTTCGCACTATATAAAAACGAGAACATATCTCTCCCTTAGTGAACTCGAGTGAATCAGTGGAGTGGTCAACCACGCCGCTTGGAACAGCCTGTGAGATCCTGTGATAACCTGGAACGGTAATGAGAGACCCTCGTGGATCAAAGGAACGATCTAGTAAGGCTGAAGAAAGGTTCCTGGAACAAAGAAGAACAAGTTAGAAGGGCGCCGGAGTATTTTCCGACGTATCCCCTCCGACGATCAAGTCAGTCTTTGAGAGAGAGAGGAAGAAGAAAACACTGAGTGTGTATTGTAGCAAAGGTTATATTGTGCGAAATCTAACACGCACAATCTGGCGCCTCCCATTACCGTTCCAGGTTACCACAGGATCTCACAGGCTGTTTCAAGCGGCGTGGTTGACCACTCCACTGATTCACTCGAGTTCACTAAGGGAGATATCTGTTCTCGTTTTTATATTGTAGGAAATCTAGCACGCACACTTAGTAATCAACTCAATACTTCAATAATCAACTCAATACCCCAAATCCAAGCACCACCACCATTGAAAAGAATCAGCTCAAATGCTTATGCCATAAAACTTCCTCACTGTACACAATTACGGAATTTTTTTCAAATGGCCATCACAATGTAACAGTTTCTCACAGAAAACATATTTGCGCAATTGCTTATCATCAAAAATTTCCACCAACAGTCAATAATCTCTTTTTTTTGAAAAAATCAAAACAAACCACCAAATCCTAATACAAATAGAGAGCACAACATTAAACAAAAATGAACTCATCAAATCACACAAAAACTATGAAACAACCAATCAAAGATCTAGCAAAGCAAACCCAATTGAACTTTATAGCTCATAACCCATTNACCAAACAACCAATCCAAGATCTAGTAAAGCAAACCCAATTGAACTTTACAGCTCATAACCCATTTCAGTTCACCCAAATTAAATCATCCATAAAAAGCTTTGAACCCAAACAACAAAAAAACTAAATCAATAGCAGATACTTCCCAAATAAAGGGTTTCTTGGGCAGAAAGAGCAGGAAAAGTCGCTATCTTAAGTCATTAAATCCAATATCACAATATCACCAGCACCAGCAGAAAATTTATTAAATTCAATACCACAATATCACAACCACGAAAGAAAAATCACAATGTCACCACAACAAATCAATTTATCTAATTAGGGAGCTGATTAAGTACAACAAATTAGATAATATCAAATCAGAAAATACGGTGGGAACTGATTAGAGAGCTGATATTCAGATAATAACAACAAATTACAACAAATAAAATAGAAAGGGACAACACTTATCTACTGTCACAGTGGACGAGCAGTAGGTGGTGGTCCTCGCTGGTGTAGATTGGTGGTGGTGGTCTTTCGCTGGTGTAGATGGGTGGTGGTGGTCGCTGGTGTGGATGGTGGAGGCGCGCCTGAAGGAGGTTAGGGGTGGTGGCTGCTGGGTCGCCTAAATGAATTTAGGGCACAAAATTTGGGAAAGATGGAAGTGATGGAGAGAATGAAAGAAGAGGGAAAGAGGAAGGAGGGACGAATGGGTTTTGGTTGCCTAAAAACGTGAATTCATTTAACGTTTTTTTAAAAGTCAAATGAGCTGACACTTTAAAAATAATCACGTCAGTCTATAAACTAAAAATATCAGACAATTTGAATTTTTTTAAAGAAACTTGAATTTGGAAATTATTTTCAAATCAACCGACTTTTTTTTTAAAATCCCATGGAATGGGTCAAAAGCTTCAAAGAATACTGTTTTGAAAAAATGTCACTTAGATCTCTTAACATTAGGTCAAATAACAAAAATACCTATTCACATTTAAAAAATACCTATTCACATTTCAAAAATAACCCGATGATCCCAATCAACATTAAAACTTGATCCGCGATAACAATTTTATTTTGTCTTAATTATAATTATTAGAATTGAATTAAACATCAAATCAACAAAAAGACCGAATCAATGATTCAATCATTGGGTCAGCTATCAATTTAATGCGTATGATACATTTGATCATCAAATATTATCATCAAATATTGTCTAAAAAAAGAAAATTTTCAATATTAAATGGTAAATTTCACCGTGCCAGACAATATCAATCGTAACGTTTTCTTTTTTCCTGATAGTATGCAAGTAACGCATCGTTTTGACGGAAACTAATAACTCAATGCCTTCCTTCACCGCCATTAAAGCTGTAACTATGCATCAGCAAGCTAAATCAGCGTTCAAGCCAAATATTATCTCTCTCTCTCTCTCTCTCTCAACATGCCCATTTCCAGAAATCTAAGAACCCAATATCACATCAAAGACCTCTCCTTAATCATCTCCTTTCTCTTCTTCCTCTACCTCCTCCTCCACCTCCACCTCCACCTCCCCTCCTCCACTCTCCCATCATTCCACACCAACACCACCTTAAGCAGTAACTCCAGCAACACAACTACCACTCCAACTACCCTTCGCCACATTCTCTTCTCCATCGCCTCCTCCTCCGACACCTTCCCCAAACGCAATGACTACATTCGCCTCTGGTACAAACACAACTCCACAAGAGCCTACCTCTTCCTAGACCGCCCGACACCCATCTCCTCCCTTTCCACCACCACCACCCTCCCTCCAACCCTCATCTACGGCAACACCTCAAAATTTCCCTACAACTTCCAATGGGGCCATCGTTACGCTATTCGCATTGCGCGAATCGTAAAACAAGCCGTCGAACAGAACGACTCTGCCATCCGATGGTTCGTCTTCGGCGATGATGACACGGTGTTTTTCACGGTGAATTTGATTCAGACGCTGGCGAAGTACGACCATGATAGGTGGTTTTATGTGGGGGCTAACTCGGAGCGTTATGAGCTGAATGAGTATTTCTCGTTTGAGATGGGGTTTGGTGGTGCAGGGTTCGCCATCAGCCATTCTTTGGCTAGGGTTTTAGCTAGGGTTTTGGATTCGTGTCTCATGAGGTACCCACATTTGTATGGGAGTGATGCTAGGGTTTTCTCCTGCTTGGCAGAGCTTGGTGTTGAGTTAACACATGAATCTGGTTTTCATCAGGTAAAGTGAAAAAACTATTGTTTTATATTTATTAATATTTATTTTGTATAATGTTATTTAAACCTAATTTTCTTACATAATAATTTTTTGTTTGACTATAAATCTCATCAAACATTGAAATCACATCAACCATTAGAATTCAACCATATCATTAGATCAACATATTATAAAAAAATCCTTTAATTTAATAATATTATTTAAACTTAATTTATTAATATAATTTATCATAATCATCATATTCCTAACGGGTCCACTAATAATTGGCTCAACTATCTATCCAACAATATTTAGGATAACTCAGACGTCCTGAATTCAAATTTTGAGAACCCCTTAAGATCAAACTATAGAGATTTATCCCTTATGAATACTCTAGTTCCATTGAGGATGACTTATATTTGACTAGATTGAGAAAGAGATTAGTCGCAGTGTGTGAACACCACCGACCATTGAAAAAAAAAATAATATATATATATATATATATATATATATCAATCCAATAGTTATGCATAATAATTAAGTCAATAACTTGCAATAATAAATGGTTAATTATAATTTGGCCCCTCATATTATGCCCTTGACGCAATTAGCCCTTTGTAGTTTTACATGCTGCAGTTTGTCCCTTTTAAGTTTTAAATAGAGTAAATTGATTGATAACATTTGCTAATATATAAAAGTACTATTAGACTCTCCATCTTGTACATTATTTTCCACATTTTTTTTGTGATATACCTATTCTATCTTTAAAAATAAGAAAATAGAAAAGTCAAAGATGAAAATTTATCCATTCAATCCAACACCAAACCAACACACTACAAAACACAACACAATGTTCGCCTTCACCTCCACCTCCACCTCCACCTTCGCCCAATGCCAAAATACACGTGCACACACACACACACACACATATTTTTAGAGGTAATTATGTATTTTCAACAAAGTAAATATTGCGTGAATTTCTCATATTTAACTTTTGTCATTTTTTATGGTCTAAAATTAACTTTTGGTTTTAATTGTATAATATTAAAACTTAAAAGGAGTTATTTATTAAAATTAAAATCTGAAGGAGTAAATGACAATCTACTCAAAATTGAAGTAGACATTTTGTAACCAACTCATTAAGAAATTAGGTCCAACAAACATTGTTCTAGCACTATTCCTTTTTTTTTTTTGGTTCAACTGTCAGGAGATATCTGGACTAACTTATGTGCACATTGATTAATTCTTTTTTTAGTTTGGTCAAAGGCAGACTATCTACGCAGAGATTAGGGTATTCATGAAGGATAAATTCATTATTGTTTGGTCTCAAAGGATTGTCAAAATTTAAATTCAAGACGTCTGAATTTACAAATCATTCATATTACCACTTAAATTACCCTTGTAATTAATTCTTTTAAATTTACACTCCATTTTTTTTTTGTTTTAAAAATAACACCCAATCGGGTAAGTTACTATCTAACCCTTTATCAGGCAGTTACCAATTTTTTTGGACCTTAACACCGGGGCATATCGTTTGGCCGATTTTGCTTACTGAATATTAGTTAAAATTGACCAAAAGCAACAAAAATCAAATGAAAAGGATAAGGGAGAGGGGGGGGGGGGGGG